ATTTATTTATTTTTAAAGATTTTATTTATTTATTTGACAGAGAGAGACACAGCAAGAGAGGGAACACAAGCAGGGGGAGCAGGAGAGGGAGAAGCAGGCTTCCCACGGAGCAGGGAGCCCGATGCGGGGCTCGATCCCAGGACCCTGGGATCATGACCTGAGCCGAAGGCAGCCACTCACGCGCCCCACTAGAAAATTTTTAAACACTAGTTTTACTTATATCTGTTGTATATTTTTCAGGAAAAGAATATTGTTTATTAATTTTTACTTCTTATTTTTAAAGTTTATTACCTGAGGCTTCAATACAATTTTATTTTGCACCAAGTCATTATCCTTTGTGTTCCTTTTGTACCTTGCTTTCTTTCTCCCTTCTTAGATGTGAGAAATTGCCTATAATTTCAGGTAATTCAAATAGTATTTGTATCATTATTGCATGTGATGAGTTTTTAAGGAAAGATCAAAACAAAATCATTGGTTTTAGTTTTTTATAACCATATTCATATTTTTTCACTTATTAAAAAATCAGGGTTGGATTGCATTTACAAAGGCTAAAAAAGGCTAAAACTAAGGCATGTCCTTTTGTGTAATTCAGAATTTGGAACAATGTTGAAAATAGAAATTTTATATAGATCTTCTCTAAAGGGAATTTATCATCATATTATATATTTTAAGATTATATGTACATTTCTGCACAAAGGGTGGTCTGAAAAGTGAATAGCCTAAGGATGTGAATAAGAATGTACTTGTTCCATACACTTAAGCATTTACCTTGGAAATGGACTACACTGAGCCACTACTTGTGAATAATATTGTCTCTATACAGGTGTGCAAGCATTTTCTTGAAGCTATTGAAAACAACAAATACGGCTGGTTTTGGGTATGCCCTGGAGGTGGTGATATTTGCATGTATCGTCATGCACTTCCTCCTGGATTTGTATTGAAAAAAGATAAAAAAAAAGAAGAGAAAGAAGATGAAATTTCATTAGAAGATCTAATTGAAAGAGAGGTAACTATAATTTTTTCCTACTATAAAACTAAAGCAGTATTTATTGTGAAATTATAATATTTACCACTTGGGGGCAATAGCATGTTATTATGAAAGGGGGAAAAAATGTGACCTTTTCCCAAAGTTGCCTTTTTCTTTAGTTATTCATGTACATCTAGAATGTAAACCTAACCATAATCACTAGCCCATCGTGACATTAATTTTAGGATTATGAAACAATTTCTTATGCCACTGGTTTATCAAACTCTTTCCATAAGATTGATATACTAATATGTTCATTAAAATCATATTCAGATTGATTGAACTTGAAGTTTAGGTGTTCTTTCTGTTTTATTTTTTAGCCATTTTACTAATCAGTAATATGTACTGAAGGAGATAATTCCTACAGTTTTCCATTTGTATGTTTTATCATCATCCCTGGGCTCAAAACCCTCACTCTGTTGATAGAGGAGAATATGTCTCATTGAAGAGAATCTTCTGCTCCTCATTTCTGGTTCAGCACAAAAGGTGTTTGCTCCATGAGATAGTAGATGGGGCTCCTGGGAGTGACAAGAAAATGTTGAAATTATTGGAAATACTAGGTTTAGGGTTGTATATTTCAAATTATATCCATTTTGCCTTCTTTGGATTGTCTAAATATGTTGTGTAAATGTCTAAGGTTGGGATTATATACATTTGCTCATTTTTAAATGGCTGTATTGTTTAGTGTCTCATAGGAGGCACTATGCTATAATAGAAAATAGAGACTTTGGAGTCAGGTATATTTGGGATTGTTTGTATCCTGCTTCTACCACATATTAGCTGTTAACCTTGATAAATTTCCCATCACTTTCTGTTTGCTTATTTGTGGAGATCAGTGTGTTAGCGTATGTGTAGATAGCATTTAATACTGAATACCTGGCAGATGTTCAGCAAGTATTATTTCTCCATACATTTATTACTTGATTATTGGCTCTGAGGAGCAGATGGTGTTTTGCCAGTTTTTTTCCTCATTTCCTGAGGAACACCAGTGAAACTTGGATATTGTTATGGTGCTTTTCGTATTTTTTGTTTTCAGCAATTGACTTCTGTTAAAACTATTTTTCTTTATGATAGGTTTTAGTCACCTTCAGTTTTGAAAAGAAATCCAGCTCAGAATAATGTATTTTACTGTGTTTAGAAATGTTTGTATCTCTGAATACTCATTCTGCTCATTGCTATATAAAATGAAAATAAATCTGTTTATTCTGAATTTGATGTCTTAACAGTTACAGGCAAGGACTTAATTGCATTAAGAGAAAACTATTAAATGTTGTTATAGGTGATTTGGGGGAAAAAACCCAACTCTTTTGTCTTTACAGCGTTCGGCCCTAGGTCCAAATGTTACCAAAATCACTCTAGAATCTTTTCTTGCATGGAAGAAAAGAAAAAGACAAGAAAAGATTGATAAACTTGAGCAAGATATGGAAAGAAGGAAAGCGGACTTCAAGGCAGGAAAAGCATTAGTGGTACGTCCCAAACTCACCTGAAGAGATTCTTTATTCTTTCTTTCATTTTATAATTTCTGTGTCCTGCAAGAATTTATTGTAATTTAATCATGTTTATGTCTGAAATCAGTGACCAAGAAATATTTTAATTTTACCCTGAGTTGATATATTTGTGTATCTGAATAGATTAGTGGTCGTGAGGTGTTTGAATTTCGTCCTGAACTGGTTGATGATGATGATGAGGAAGCAGATGATACCCGTTACACCCAGGGAACAGGTGGTGATGAGGTAAGAAGCAGCTTTGGCACCTCATTCCCTCACATTGATGGAGAGAAACAATAGAGAATAACAACAGAGTAGCATGATTAAGGGTACCAACCCTGGGGCCTTGGTTCAAATCCTAACTGTAACCTGGGAAATCACCTACACTGTAGGTCTCTACCCTCATCTGTAATAAAGATATAATGATAATCCCTACATGCAGGCCACTTGTGAGAATTAAATGAGTTAATAAAATTACAGTTCTTTATAAAGAAAGTAGAACAGTGATTGGGGTAGAGTTAAATGCTTATATGTATTAGCTAAAAAGTATGTGTTTTATGGGGCGCCTGGGTGGCTCAGTCGGTTAAGCGACTGCCTTCGGCTCAGGTCATGATCCCGGAGTCCCGGGATCGAGTCCCGCATCGGGCTCCCTGCTCAGCGAGGAGCCTGCTTCTCCCTCTGACCCTCCCCCACTCATGTACTCTCTCTCTCTCTCTCATTCTCGCTCTCTCAAAATAAATAAATAAATCTTTAAAAAAAAGTATGTGTTTTATTCTTCCTCTAAAAGGAAAACGATTTTTAAAAATATTTTATACTGAAAAAATGGGACAGAGACTAAAAAAATACAGAGTAGGGGAAAAAAGTACAGAGTAGGGAGCAGGAGACAATAGCAGAATCACTTAGTTACAGGCAAACATAGCTGATTATTCATTTTTTCTATAGTATAAAATTCCAGTCTCTGTCTTTGACTTGAAAATAAAAACGTCGTATTCTTTATGTCAGAGGAAGAAACTTGAAATATGGCATTGCTGTTTTTTTCCCCCAAGAAGTTTAGGAAAAGGAGTGAATTTTGGCAGTTGTCAGTTACTGTTTTCACTTGGCATTAGTAATAATTTTGTTTCACTAAGATAAATGTCAGAGGTAAAGGTAAGTTGTGAAAACTGTTCTCATAGGTAACAACTTTCTTTTCTATATTTTTAAAGGTTGATGATTCAGTGAGTGTAAATGACATAGATTTAAGCCTGTATATCCCAAGAGATGTAGATGAGACAGGTATTACTGTAGCCAGTCTTGAAAGATTCAGCACATATACTTCAGAAAAGGATGGTAAGTATGCTAACCTTTGTGTGATTCTAAAAACTAGAAAGCTGTCTAAAGAGGGAGGGGGGACAGTTAGACCAGACTGGCAAACTTTGAGGTCTGCAGGTACAGATCGGTAACATAAACATGTGTGGCTTGGCTGTATATAGAAGTAGTGAGTCGTGGAAGCTGTAGAATGGGTGGCTAGGTGGATATGGAAGCCATTAACTGAAAGTAGAAGGGGACAAAAATGAATTTGGAGATGCAGTTAATCAGTTTGGAACCTCATGATTTTGAGATATTTTAATTATCAAAAGTGGCATTGTCTAGGATACTGTGTAGACATTCACAGGAGGAAAACTTTTGAAAGTCATTTTCATTGGTAGCTCAGAGTGAATGAACTCACCCAAGCACAATACTTACCACGAGAACACTGTAGAATACACCGCAAACATCAGAGTAGTCAAAAGAGAGAAAGCTTGGGAAAGACACTGAGAAGGACAAACAAAAATAAAGAAGAGTTTCAGAAAAATTAAGTAGGATGAGAGCTGCAAATAATTCTTTAGTTGCAATAAGAAAGGAGTTGTAGGAATTAGGGAGCCAGTTTTCATCAGGACTGCAATGGTAAGAGGAATGAGGAGAAAAATAAGTCACTCTTAGAAACTTTGTTTGAGGGGGAGACATGGTCATGGGAAGGGCTTGTACGCCAGGGAAGAAAGATCTGGGAGAAGAAGAAAAATGGAAGATGAAAGGGTATTAGTTACAGAAACAAGATCTGGGGGCGCCTAGGTGGCTCAGTTGGGCGACTGCCTTGGGCTTGGGTCATGATCCTGGAGTCCTTGGATCGAGTCCCGCATCGCATCGGGCTTCCTGCTCGGTAGGGAGTCTGCTTCTCCCTCTGACCCTCCTCCATCTCATGCTCTCTGTCTCTCATTCTCTCCCTCTCTCTCTCTCAAATAAATAAATAAAATCTTTAAAAAAAAAAAAAGGAAATAAGATCTGGAAATACAAATAATGAATTTAGTTAAGAGTGAGAATGGGGAAATGCTGGGGTGAGGCTTGTTGATAAAATTTATGTCTAATGGTGCCTTGACTGAAGAGTTTAAAGAGAAGTGAACGTTTGGCCTGGTTAGTATGAGATAAAAAGGTAGAATACTAATCAAGGCAAAGTTTGAGAGAGCAGAAACTAACCTTATTTTTACAATAAAGGAATGCAAGTTATAACATGAAAAACTGGCTTGCCCTCTTGAGATCTGAGTACTGTCAGACTATTGTCTTAATGCCAATCTGAAGACTGGATTTGCTCCTTTTAGAAGTAGGACTTTGGTGACAGTAGGCAAAATTGCAAGTACTTCAGAGTCTATAATCCCCCAAGACTTTTGTCATCAAAGGTATTTAAAATAGCTAAAATCTAAATTAGGCTATTAAAAATTGTCTTTATGTAAGTATTAGTGTCTTTGAACATGAAAAGACAGCGTTTTTGTTTTCTCAATCTTTTCTAGCTTGTAAAGAAAAGTAGCTGCATAGCCCTAGGTTCTTTTTTCACAATTTGATGATAAGATGAAATGTTTTTGGATTCATATCTATTTGCAGCATTACTAGTGTGATTTAACTACTGTTCCCCAAATCAAAAGCTAAGTAGCTGCTAATAAACACTTTTTGATTCCATAATCATTTATTCAAAATACTATGTGGAAGTTGACTGTTTAAAAACCTAATTGCTAGGTCATGTAGGAAACAGAATTGAATAAGATAAATCTTGCTTTCAAATGTATAAACCGTTAAGCAATCAAATGTCTGTAGTGCAAGACATACTTGCACCTAGGTATAGGTATAGCTTAAGCTTTCTTAAGCTTAGAAAAAGATCAGTTCTTGTTGGAGTAACCTTAGGGAAGGAAGGCTTTCATGGAAAAAGGAAAAATGTAGTATCTGTGACTGTTAGTTGCTAATGGTGGAATAGTGTTTTCTGTTTCTCGGCCTTATTGATTTCAATGTTTATTTTTAGAAAACAAATTAAGTGAAGCTTCTGGAGGTAGGGCTGAAAATGGTGAAAGAAGTGATTTGGAAGAGGACAACGAAGGGGAGGGACAGGAAAATGGAGCCATCGATGCTGTTCCTGTTGATGAAAATCTTTTTACTGGGGAAGATTTGGATGAACTAGAAGAAGAATTAAACACACTTGATTTAGAAGAATGACACCAAACAAGTCTGAAAAAATTAAGCCAGCTCAGCATGAGTTGAAATTGACTACAGTAATTTTTTTCCACCTAGAATTCTTCAACAGGAGTTTATTTCCCATGCTGATTCTGGAGGGCTTCCTCTCCTCCAAAAAAGGAATATTCTCCCTACATCTTGTCTTCTGACTTTGGCTACATCTCATAGTAAGTTCAGAGTAGTTCATGATAAATTGAAAATATAATGGTCATTGCAGAAAATGATTGTTGTAACTGTCCATTCAAGTAGGAAGTGTAACTGCTTTTCCAGCTTTTGATTTTCATTGGGCATGTATTATAAGAACAACATAAATTTAAATTTAAAGTACCCTTCATTTAATGCAGTTTTAATGAGTGATTTCATTTCCTTTGTATTTATATGTTTCAAAGACTGCCTAAACTAAAATATGAGCACTGTATTTCATAAAGGAAACTGCGTATGCAGATTCAGTATTGTATATCTTTGGACAATTAGATGGACATTTAAAAGGAATCTTCTTTAACCTGACAGAATCAGCTGCAATGCCCTGTGTTAAACTGTTTTAAATGTTTCCCTCTTCTTTTTTGCCAATAAAGTTGTAAATAAAGACCATCATACATTAAAATCCAAATATGGTCCTTTTTTCTTTAAGGTTTTATATGAATATTTTCTTAGAATTTATAGCTTGAGGATTTTAACTAAATATTATCTCTTATAGTTACCACAGAAGGCACAGACATTTAAAGGATTCTCTTAACTGGTTACGGAGCTATGTAGAATACTGACAGTACTACTATGAATTTAGTAAACTATGAATTTGGCTTTAAAAAGAGGCTATAGGTAATGCTGTAGGAAAGAGTAATTCCCCAATTGATAGATATCAGCCTAATTAAATATTACTTACAGAACTAAATACTACTTAACCATCATTTGTGGAGATCCATGGTGGTAACCATAGTACATGCTACAGTTTGATTACTATGAAAGAGTGTAAACAAATCCACCAGAAAACTGAGCTGAGGGTCTTTGTCATTGAGTTCCCTGAAAAATTAGGGTGGTACATTTTAAATGGACATAATTTATAAATGACAAATATGTGCTAGCACCTTTTTGTCATTTTATTTTCAAATATTAGTACCTTGTTTCTTTTGTTATCTGCAAATATAAATGGATTTTAAAGCATTAGACTAAGATAATAGTATGAACAGGTCAGGTAAACTGGGCCCTAATTTCATTTCTACCTCAGGTAAATTGATTTTTAAATCTGAATCTTAGGGCGCCTGGGTGGCTCAGTCGTTAAGTGTCTGCCTTCGGCTCAGGTCATGATCCCAGGGTCCTGGGATCGAGTCCCACATCGGGCTCCCTCCTCGGGGGGAAGCCTGCTTCTCCCTCTCCCACTCCCGCTGCTTGTGTTCCTGCTCTCGCTATCTCTGTCTCTGTCAAATAAATAAATAAAATCTAAAAAATAAATAAATAAATCTGAATCTTAGTTTCTTCATCTGCATATAGCAGTTAAAGTGCTTCGCAGTTGTAAAACCTAAAAAAACATAATTGTAAATCTTGTCAAATGATAATATCAAAGTTGATAATGAAATCGACTTCCTATCTACTCATACTTGTACTGTAATTGACACTTTTCAAATGTAGAACATGAACCAAGTTTATTTCCCACATGCAATGAAAGTATACTTACTTTGTATATAAAAAGTTTCAAAATTTTGATCTATGAAAGATTTGTTTCATTCTTTATAAAAAGTTTCAAATGTTACTAATTATATTTTATAATGAAACATTTTCAAAATAATCCAGAGTTTAAATCTTTCTAAAGCTATAACCCAAGCAATCTTTTTCTTTCTTTTTTTTTTTTTTAATATTTTATTCATTTATTTGACAGAGAGAGAGAAAGCACAAGTAGGCAGAGAGGCAGGCAGAGGGAGAGGGAGAAGCAGACTCCCCACTGAGCAGGGAGCCTGACGTGGGGCTCCATCCCAGCATCCTGGGATCACGACCTGAGCCAAAGGCAGACGCTTAACCAACTGAGCCACCCAAGCGCCCCATCTTTTTCTTTTTCACTTTTGAAATCATCTAAAACTTTACCAAATAATTGTATTTACTTTAGACCCTACCGTTAGTCCATTTACTTTAGACCCTAAGTTGTGTGTGTGTGTTTTTTAAATGTATATGGAAGGCCTATTTAAACAAAAGTATGCCTAAGGCTTTTAGTTCTTTAGTTCTTTAATTTAACGTATTACTACCTTACAGCAAATATGTGATTTTGAAAACCCAAATTTTCTTTAATAAGTGAGTCAAAGGGAAATGCTACAGTGGAGGTAATTTTTGATACCTACAATTCTTTAAGATGGCCTTCACCTATCTTGTCCTTAGGTTTCTTCCATTATAAATACAATCAATATATGCTCAGAGAATGCAAAAGTATGAGATGAGAATATATAATATGAGAAAATAAAAATGTAAAATCAAATCTTCTAAAATAACATATAGTATATTTCAGAGACCATTCGATATAGTTTTGTATTGTTCACAGTACAGTTATCGTATATTAGTACAGTAAATCTGAAAATGGCTCCTCTTTTCAAACCCATTTACACAGAACTCCATAGTTTTTTCTTACAAATTGTTCTTTTATATAAATCCCATTGTTAACATATGTCTGTAATCTAATTTCAGTTATGTGACTTACCTTCATTTTAAAAGGTTTGTGGTTTACACATTCAGAAACTTACAGTGTAAGCCTTCCACAGGAGGGGAACTATGATTTTGCACTTATTTCCTTATGGTCTATAAAATGAGATTATTATCCCAAATGTAAAGAACTTTTCATTTTTCCCTTAATAGCTAGGAGATTTCATCAGCCCATGCTCTTTTTCCTATTTACCACTTTTTTGGGTAGTTAATCTCTAGGTTATACCAGTGTTCTCAAAGGACCATATATCAGTTTATTCTATTCTACCTGTGAATCCTTGAAGCTATTTTTATCGAAGTCTTAAGGTTCTGTGTATTTCAGTGACAAAGGTCATCAGTACCACTTTCACTACTCTACATATTTTAAGAATTTTGTGATGTTTCCATATTTAATTGATAATTACTAATTTTGAGTAATCCTGTTTATAGCATGTATAGAAATAGAGTGAGAATGTATAATTGAAAATACTTGAGTTAATGGAAACCCCTCAATTTAAAAGTAGAGTGTATAATACACTAATTGAGTGGATCACTTCATAATTGTGATTATTGTATATATTGTATGTATTTCACTTAGAAAAGTTCAGTGTAGGAGGAGTAGAATTCACTGCATTAATAGTAATGTTCATCCTTGAATTAGTAACTAAATCCTTTTGATAATTTGTGAATTGACATGACTGAGAAGCCAGTTAATTTCTGGAGATAAGGCATAACTATACCAGCTGCTACCCATTCAGTTGTATTCAAGCTAATTAACTAACTACATTGGTGGTTTACTCCAGTGAGATCTCCAAGAGATCTTTTTCTTCTAATATGCTAAGAATTATTAAGTATTCCTACAACTCTCGCACTGATGACCCACCATAGAAGGAAAAGTAAATAATCTCTTTTATACTCCAGAACTATCTTCCACTCCTATTGGGGGGTGGGGGGATTAATTGCTAATAGCTTCAGCCAATTTATCTTCAAGCAGGACTAAAAAGAATTATGATACCATCTAGTTTGAGCTAATCATTGACATTTTTTACTTACTTGATTGGTCTTTTTAATTTTTTTCCCAGCACAGTCTTTTAACGGGAGGGGTGAAGACTCAGCTAATATGCAGCCTTCAAGGACCCTTAGATGAGTGAAATGGCTTATATACAGGAGACTCCATTCATCCTTGACACTCGTGCCACCCCTCCCCCTCACAAGAAGATTTTTGACAGCAAAGAATTCTTTTTAATTATTGATCATCCCATATTAGCAATAACTAAGCTTATTTAATTTGTAGGTTTATTACACAGGTGGTTTCTGATTGATGATATCTTTAAAAGTCAAAACTCTATGAAAGAGGAAAGTTGATACTCTAAAACAGTAAGAATCACTATTAGAAGTGACAGAAATAACACAGGTGAATTGTCTGAGAGAAAACAGTGTTTAGAAGGCTGGGAAGGCATTCACTGGGACAATAGTTTTATGCTAATCATAGAACCCTATGTCCATATACAGCATGCTACTGTACAAACATAATACTCTTTAAAAATACAGGAATGCAAGAACAAGTGAACCAGTTTAGGATCAATTTTCTTGATAATTCATTTGCATAAAATCAAAAGGTTTCATCTGGGCAGAAACATAAATCTGTTCATCCTTTACATGTGTCCTGCATATATAAAAGGAAGAAAGAAATTTCTTAATTTCCTAAATTCTTTATTTTAGTGGGGAGGGTGCAGAGGGAGAGAGAGAGAATCTCAAACCGACTCCCCGCTCAGCACAGAGCCTGACCACAGCACTGGATCTCAGGACCCTGAGATCATGACAGTAGCCGAAATCAAGAGTCGGAAGCTTAAGCAACTGAGCCACCCAAGCACCCTACACCTATTATAATTTAATACAAACTTTATATGCTGCCTAGAACTCTGCCAGTTTATTTGAAGTCAGATGAAAATAAGTGCAGATTTTTTTAAGTTTCAGTAAGATTCTTAAATGCATAATGCATATCACTCGCTGCTCATTCTTTCTGAACAGAGTTGAATGGTGCTAACAGTTTTCAAAAGCCTGTCCATTTTTTCATTTTCTCTTCTCTTTGATAGTTGAAGATCAGAAGACCAAGTGCAAAATTGACTGTCAGAACTTGTCCAGAGGCAAACAATAAAAGCACAGGAAAAAATTAAAGTGAGCCAATATTTCAGAGGCTTTGACAACAAACTTAGGCTGCTAACAGGTTTATTCTTGTACTTATGTTTTTGTATCTGATTTCATTTCATACATAAGTAAGAATCATCATACTTGTCTGTAGAACTGAGAATGAGCTTTTCTATGAGAAATAGAATAACACATTGCAATGGCCTTCACATGGAGATTTTTGCCACAGCTTTAAATGAAATTTATTTTTCAAACTGTGAGCTTATACAGTGTTACTAACATTTAAAGGTGTAAAATAAGCCAAATTTCAGAGGTAAACTGATAGAAATTTCTGAATTCCTCTGATAAAGCTAAACGCCTTTTCGGGGCGCCTGGGTGGCTCAGTAGGTTAAGCATCTGTCTTCGGTCAGGTCATGATCTCAGGGTCTTGGGATCAGCCCCAAGTCGGGCTCCCTGCTCCATGGGGAGTCTGCTGCTCCCTCTGCCCCTCCCTCCACTCGTTCTCTTTCTCTCAAATAAATAAATAAAATCTTTTAAGAAAAACTAAATGGCTTTTCATTAATCTTCTAAACAGATTTATTGAGGTATAATTGACACAATATACATATTTAAAGTGTACAATTTTATGTTTGACAAATGTATGTACCTATGAAATCATAAGCACAATTAGGATATATTGTACATATTCATCCCCACCAGAATATTCCTCTTGCCTTTGGTAGTCCTTCCCTCTCCAAGCAAGCACTCATCACCATAGTTTCATTTGCATTTTATATAACTTTATGTAAATAGAATCATATG